CCAGGAAATGGTTTCCAGGGGCTGCTCTGACGAATCACCACAAACCCAGTAGTTTACAGCATTACACAGTTATCCTCTTGCAGTTCTAAAGGGCAAAAGTCCACAATTGGCATCAGTGGACCAAAGTCAAGGTTTGGGCAGGGGTGGTCCCATCTGGGGAGTCTGGGGAGAAGCTACCCCCACCTCTCTCAGCTTCCAGGACTGCATTTCTTGCCCTCCTCAGCACGAGGCCCTTCCTCCCTCAGCAGAGCACCTTGCTATGGTCAGCACATGGCCCTTCTATGGCCAACTCTCCTCCTCCTCCTCATGAGAACACATGTGGATGCATTCAGGGCCCATGTGGATGATCTTGGGAAATTTCCCCATCCAAGAGCCTGAGTCTCATCTGCAAAGTTCCTTTTGCTATATGAGACAACCTTCACAGATTCTAGAGATCAGAATCTGAGTATCTTTGGGGGCCGTGATTCACCCAGCATACCTTTAACCCTAGAGGGAGAAATGAAGGCATAGATTTACTGCAGAAGGTCCTGAACCCCACAAACCCCACCTTTGCCCATGTTGTTTGTTTCACCTGCAGGGACTTCCTCCCTCTAGACTTATGGAACACCAACTCCAGCATCCACCCAAACAGCTCCTCCTCCCTTGGCCTTCCTCTGAGCACAAAGGACTTCAGGGCCACTTCAGAATTCCCAGGGGACTGGTTCTCATCAGAACCACAGAGCTCAGTGCTTTCTTCTGTGCATTAGCTAATTTAAATTTTTAAAAAACCCAGAACTTGAAACTGGGTGTGCTGGTACATACCTGTAATCACAATTACTCAGGAGGCTGAAGCAAGAGGACTCAGGTCCGTGGTGAGCCTAGGGAATTTAGCAAGACCATGTCTCAAAAACAAAAAGGCCTGGGATGTAGCTCAGTGCTCCCGGGTTCAATCTCCAGGACTGGAAACAAAACAAAACCAGAACCTGAATTTCCTGTAATACATACTCACTGAGAAAAATGAGAAGAATGGGACAAAAGAAAGTGAAAAAAAAAATCACATTAAATCCTGCGACCCAGAGGAAACCTCTGTTAAGGTTCCAACTCTATCTTTTTATTCATTTTTCAATGGACATCTGTACCCTGAAAAAGATATTTTTAATAGCAAAAAACGCTGCTTTGAAACATCTTTTGGACTCTGTAGCCAGATATTCTGGTTAAAATTCCAGCCAGTCACTGACCTTTGGCAAATTATGTAACAGATCTGTGCCTCAGTTTCCTTATCTGTAAAAGAGGAAAATCATAGCACATATCTCCCGAAGTTGCTATGGTGATGAATTAATGTAGAGAAAGCACTTGGGACCATGTCTGGCACATGGCAAATGCCATACACATGTGAGCTGTCATCATTATTATCACCGTACTCATCTAAGGGACATCTGTTCAGGTGGCTCAGTAACTCTGGCAACGTAATTCACAGCCACCTGTGTGAGTTACGGGTTCTCAGGTATGAATGCATTCTTCTGCTAGCCACTTGTTTCCACTTTGTTTCCTCCATAAACAATCACGGAATAAACATCCTTGAATAAATACCTCTGCACACATCTTTATTTGGTCCTAAAATTTCAACTGCTGAGTCACAGATCATATATATATTAAGCTTTTGATACATCACTGCCATCTTGGAAACAGTGTTTAAGTACAGATGCACGTAAATAAAACAGACTGATGTCCCACTTTCCTGCATCACACTACACAATAAGTCACCTAGCTACCACAAGCACTAAGAGTCTGCCCTCTGAGGACTTTGAGGAGCTTGCATGCAGGTGTGACCACAGACTGGACTTCTCAAGCATCATCTCAGCTCTTACCATGCTCACAAGGTGGATCCATGTTCTCATTCTACTAATAAGGAGACTGAGGCTCAGAGAAGGCAGGAATTTGCCCAGGCACTGAGGAGCATGGAGAAGACCCAGTGATTCACATCCTCAGATTGCAAGGTTGCTGCTTTCCTTGTGCTGTTGCAGCAAGACCCAGGGAGGGAGCTTGGGAACTGCAGGCCTCAAACAGCACTGGTTATCAGTGAAGCCTCCCAGGGCTCTATCACCACCCACTTTGCTTCCCAATAAAAAGATTCACTGGGCCTGGTTTTGGGCACCTCACAGAGCTGAGGACATCTGGCCAGAAGGGCCCAATCCTGGATACCATGTCCCACTCCACCCCAAGTAGTGGGAACCTGAGACCTCAGTAAAATCTCCCACAGAAGCACCTCAGAGGGGCCTGGATTGTGCAGAGAGCCCAGGGATAGAACTGGGACACCCAGAGAAGGGACTCTGGATACTGGAACCAAGGGAAGGAGAGACCCCAGGACACCAAGGAGGTCTGCACTTGCCAGATGGTGCACTCAACACTGGTACATATCTACTCTCTAAAGGACCCAGACAGAGGCCCCACTCTCTAAAAGACCGGGATGCCTTTTACAGGGCAGAAATCGAGGCACGGAGCAGCTGCGACTTGGTCAGAGCCAGGCACTTCAGACCCCAGGCACCACTCCGGGTCAGCACTCAGGCTCACAGCTGGATCCATGGCTTCTCAGCCATACGAACTGAGGAAGTGGCTAACGTCACTGGTAAAATGGGCATGAGAATAAAATAAGAGAATGTGAAACTATATGTAGAACTAAATAGATAAGAAGTTTTAAAAAAGGTTCAGTGAAACAATTTTCTAAGACCAAGGAGAGGACAGGCAGTTTGAAGCCTCTACAAAATTATCCTGGAAGCACAGCTGGTGAGCGGGCTTAGGGAGCCTGGACTCAGTCAGTCAGCAAATATTGAGCACTTGCTGCATGTCACCACAATAAATCTGCCACCAACCTGGCACTGAGCTGCTTATGATCCAAAGGGGGAGACAAACGGGAATCTCAAGGCTGCATGTGAGCAGGGATCAAGGGGCTGAGGCAGATCCAAAGCCCCTAGCGGCCAACCACCCAAGGGCAGGTGGATCTCCGTGACGGGGACAGCCAGGACCAAGGAATCAGAGGGGAGATGCAGACTGAGAGGTGTCCCTCAGGGCACAGGTCCCAACCAGGTGTGTCACCTGCACTATCTCAGCAGGCCTCACATCTCTCGGATGGAGGAGTCAATGGTTCCATCTTCAAAATGAGAAAACTGAAGTCAGAGGTTAAGTGACTGGTCTAAAATCGCACAGCTGACTAGCCGTGGGCCTTGAGCTGGAATCCAGATCTATGTAGCAAGGAAGAGGACAAGAGGGAGCTGTACAGAGAGGTAAGGGCACAGGGGGGATGAGCTGTCTCTTCCAGGGCCAGATTTGAGGTAAACTAGGAGTTTGTGACTGATGACCGTGACTAAGAGGGTCCTGTCCCAGTTTGTGCAGGGGCCTAGAAAGCCTGGACATAATCAGGCGAGCCCATGATGAGGGAGGAAGGCTCCTAACCCGGCATCCAGGAGATGAAGACACACTGTATCAGAACCTCAAAGTTTAGACCCCCACTGGAACCCCCATCAGTTCTCCTCCAGGCCCTCTGGGGCCAGGAAGAGGAGGAGCGAGGGCCCAGTCAGTTCTGTCCTCCAGGCAGGGCCCTAAAACCACAAGGCTAAACAAACTTTCCCTCCAGGTTACCATGTTCAGACTGTGCAGCTCCCTTCAAAGTCAATGGGTCAGGCCCTCCCAGGAGAGCATGATAAGGAAAGGTTGGCGAGAAAGGTGGTAGAATGCCAGCCCTGTGGATAACAGGCTCGGGCCCCACAGTTGTGAGTGCCAGCCAGGGCGTCCAGGGCCCACGAACAATCCCCACCTGCACTTTTGTATGAGCCCACCACAAACCACAGTTGAGTTAGTGCACACACAGCCTAACACTCCCCACCCTGACCTACTCCACCCGACCACACACTCATTCAGGCCCTCCAGCTGCCACACCAATCCCTGATTCTGGCCATGCCACCTGGCTCTCTACAAACAGAAATCCCATCACTTATGTCTTCAATCCTGCCACATGCTCTAACCTCGGTTCCCCTTCTTCTCCAGACCCCTTCCGGTTTCCAGAGTGCACTCACAGATCACTGCCCCTTCCCCACCTTAGAAATCCTGTGCTCTGTCCTCCTGTACCAGCCAATAGGGTCCTTTAGGGCAGGGACCAAACCTCTGGGTGCCAGAGGCCCTCAACAGGAATGTGTTCATTCATTCCTTGTGTCATCAAGTAAACACAGACTGAGCACCCACAAAGCCCAGGTCTGGGGGGTCTGGACTGGGGCCTTCAGCTCCTGCCTGGCTTTCTCTGCTGTACTTCCCTAGGCAGAACATGGAAGCCACGGGTGCTACTGTGCTTCAGTCCCCAACGCCCCGGTTCTGCCCTGGCCTCTGTCCTAAGTCCCTTTCCCACCTCCAGCGTCTTCTGTGGAACTCAGCCACTGCTACCCGGGTGCAGGCTTCCAGTAGCCATCGGATCCCTTCAGAGAGGCCTGCAGCTAAGGGGCCCCAGTCATCAGGGTTCAATCTGGCCTCTCACTTCCCTGGTCCCTCGGCCTCTACTCCCAGTAAGAAACTTCTCCCCCAAGAGAAGGGTGGCTCAAATTGCCAGGGAGCAAGGAGCAAAAGAGAGGCCACGGCATGGGTCTGCCGGGAGCCCAGGAGCTGCTTTCTTGGGGGATGAGCAGCAGTAACTGGAGATCGGGCTCCCAGCTCCCTTCCGGGGTTCTGACGCGAGCTCGGCCGGTGAGAGACACCACGGGGCTGCTCCGCTGACCCGCGACGCAGCCGCAAGCGCCGCACCGGCCCAACGCGGGCACCGGGAATCCGAGGGCACCGCAGCGGGCACAGTCTCAGGTCCTCGCCCGGGCCGGGCTCCTCCCAGGAGCAGGTAGCGCCCAGACTAGGAATTAACCGAATTTCTTGGTTTCCGCACCCGGTCCCGCTCGGACCTGAGCCGTCCAAAGCCTCGGCCACTGGGCCCGGAGCCCGCTCCAACTCAGAAGCCGCGGGCGGCGAGGCGGGCAGGGCCGCGGTACCTGTCAGCAGCTCGATCTTGTGTCCCAGCACCCTCATCGTGGCGGCGGCGGGGAGCGCGGCCCGGAGAGTCGAGCAGTGCGGGTGAGCGGAGCAAGCGGAGCCAGCAGCCCGCAGCCAAGCGCTCGCCGCCCCCTCCAAGGCGGTTTAAAAAAATCCACCAATTGCGCTGCCGCGCACCCCCAAGGCGCCCGCCGCCACCTGGTCGGGATGAACTCCGGGAGGCGGAGGGAGTGCGGGGTGGGTGCGGGGGACATCTCGGGAGGAGGCCCCGCGCCCGCAGCCCGAACAAAGAGGCTGCCGCCCCCGGGCGTCGCGGTAGCGGCGGCGCGGGCGACGGTGGGCCGTGCTCCCCAGGGTGCCCAGCCGGGCCGAACAGCGAGGAGCTGGGCGCCGCCCTCGAGTGGGCGGAATGGGGCCGCGGGGCGAAGGTGCAGGGCCAGGGGGTGTCAAGGCTGGCGGGGCCGAGGGCGCGCGCCGGCCACCGCAGGGGCTGCAAGGGTTGCAGGGGCTGCTGGGGCTGCAGGGCGAGGGGCTCTGAGACTCACCCAGGTGCGGTGAGCAGACAGTCGCGCGGGCGGGTTCCGGGCCTCCGCGTCGCCGCCCCTGCGCCGTGCAGGTGCCCGCAGCTAGAGAACCCCTCCGCCGTGCCCGCCGCTGCGGGGGCCGGGCTGGGGGCGGGGACTGGGCGGGGGTTGGGGGCGGGGACGGGGCTGAGGAGCGTGCCCGTGCGGATGGGGGGCGTGGGCGCTCAGGCCCTGGTGCGTTCCCCGGCGCAGGGCTGCTAGCTCCTGCCGCCGAGCTCCGGGTCGGTGGGCAGAAGACGGCGGGGCGCTGCGACGCGCAAACCCAGCCGAGACCTCGGGCGGTCGGCACCCGTCCCAGCCCACTCCTCACCTCTCGCGGCGCCCTGAGCGACGGTCAGGTCGCTGGAGCTCTGCGGCGCGCGGCCCTTCCCGCCCGTCCCGTGCTTCTGCGGCCGCGTGGCGTCGGGCTCTCGGGGAGGGGGCGGCCTCGGCCTCAGTCTTTGTGTGAACTCCCGAGGGAACCTCAGCCCTGTAGAGCCTCCCCCACCCCACCGCCTCTTCTTCTCCCTGCCCCTGCCGCGCGGCCCCACCCGCCGCTGCCTAGGAACCGCTAGAGAAAAGTCCCGGGGTTCGGCAAGAACCGAGGCTTGGGGTCCCCAGGGACATCGCCCCCTCCCCCATTTTCAGAGCCCTGTGGTCCCCTTGGGGAACTCCTGCTGACTCCGGAGGAGGTGTTCTTTCTGGGCCTGGAGGGTCCCATCTAGAGTATGGCCAGATCCTGCTCCTCCCAATTCACTCTCCATTATCTGAGTGAGAAAGGGGGCAGAAAGACTGGTTCGCCCTGCCACTCAAGAGCGAGGACCACAGGCCCTGGATAGATCCACCTCTAGAAAGTATTGAGCTCTGGTAACCCAAAAATATTTAGGCAAGACAGTTTAAAACGAGGGCTGGAGCGGCGACCTTGTGTGGGGCTCTGCCTCTCCCTGGATTGCAGCCTTTTTGTGCAGGAGGAAAATTTTGGACCAGGTCATCTTGGAAGTTCAGGATGGCAGTGAGTGAGAGATTAGGAGGAACCTGTAGTACCTCTCCCTTCGGCGACCTTTGCATTGGTCTGGGGTGAGGTCGTCCTTTTGTTGAGCTTCGAATGGTAGCTGCCGGTGGCAGCAAATTAACCGACCTGCCGTCTGAGGAAGCTGCTACGGTTTCGGTAGCCTCATATGGGGCACGTGTTGCTGATTGGGTTACAGCTTTGTGCTGCTTGAGTGCCGGAGTACCAACCACATAGGAGGCACCAAGCTTGGCTTCCCCACCTTGGGGAAATCCCTAGATCTCAAGGTCTTCCTTTGTAAGGGGGTGGGGGAAGGTCATTGTCAAGGCTAGGGCAAGCCTCACCTCTGAAACTTCTTCCTTCTAGTAGATTGTGGTTCTGTGCCCTGAAGTCAGGAGCCAGTCCTTAAAAGCACAAGCTGGATCTATAGTTTACTGGCTATGCAGTATCTATGCAAAGTTACCTCTGTGAGTTTCCATGTCATACTCTGATACTGGGATGATGCTGATTTCAGAGGGTTTCTGTAAGAATAAGGCACATCGTTTAAGTCACCTTTATTACTGATGATGAAATTGTCATTATTCCATTAGAGATTCTTTCAGACTTTCCTGAGTTCTACCCTTTTCAATCATTTCGTTGGACAAAACTGATCATCTTCTAGTAAAATAGTCCATGAGGCTTTACCTGTTCTGTGTCCCCCCAGAGGATCTAAAAGGCTGCCTAACAAGAGCTTTGACACTATGGCATGTCTGTCGGGGTGAGCAAGAGCATCTGCAATGGCCTTGAACTAGTGCAGACAATCCACTAGGCTCAGGTACTTCATGAACCCCAAGTGAGCATTCTGGTGGGTCTGATTTCAGATTTGAACCCCCTGAAAGTGGAGACTTACTAGGTGATGAAGAAACTGGAGCTATTGCGGCAAGCTCAGATTTGATGGGGGCAAGGAGCCTGGCTCCTTCAGGAGGAGTCAGTTGTCCCAGGCAGAAAGGGTCACTGCTGAGTCACCAGAAGCTTGAGATCTTGGTTCCTTGTGCCAGGGTCTCCCTTCCTCTTCAGCTCCCTGTGGAGCACGTGTCCTGTTTGGGGTGGTGATGGTGGGGGTTTTAACACAGGAAAGCAGAACATTATAAGGGCCAAACTGTTGCCTAGAATAAGGGGCCTCTTAAGAAATGCCCCTGCCGTGTTCATAGTTCTGGAAAAATGCTTCACAAGTCACTGCTTTACAAAATGGGCAGGGAGAGATTGGGCGCCCTGTACTTAGGCTGGAGATGAAGACCCTACCTTTTCTGTGGAGTTGGGTTAATTTACCAGCCATGGTGCTAGCTGAAAGAAATTGAAGCCTACTCTGGCTCATTTAAGAAGAAAAGGGCTTTGTTAAAAGAAGGGTGGGCAGCTCTTTGGGATCTCAGGTGCCAGGCCTGACCCTGCAGTCTTTGTCCAATGTTCAAATCACCAGTCTCGTTCCTGGGCATGAACATTCCAGTCCGCGCTGCCCCTGGATGTGGACACTGGATACTGTTATCTGGACACCAGCTGCCTCCAAGATCAGTGGTAGTACTGCTGCCACTGTTACCATCCTCACTAGAATGGATTCCCTGTAGTTTTGGCTTGCTTGCGCCTCCAGTTTCTCACTCGCAGTCCAGAGGTGGGTATCTGATTGGAGGAGCCAATCATGTCCACTGCAAAAGTTGCAAGGGGGGCTGGGAAGAGGTGTTTTCAGTTCTCTAGTGGGAGGTGGTCTCTGCCCCATGGGAAGGGCATGGTGGATACTGGTGGCCAAAAGAGTGACCAGTGTCTACTTCAGATAACAAAGGACTTGTGAAAGTGTTATAAGATGCTGCACATGGGCACTTAACTCAGAGCCTAGCAGGGAAAGACCCAAGTCTCTGGTCTCAGATTCATACCACACTATAAATCCTCAGTGTCAACCACTGACACTGCTTCATGCTTTCATCTTTGATTTTTTCAGCAAGTGAAAGATGAAAGGACCTTGAGAACAGTGTGGCCTGCTGCCCTTCCAGATGCAGAGGCAGCTCCAGTCTCACTGCCAGGACAGGTGACTGGGTTTTTCCATTGTGGTGATGAATTGGGCTGAGTCACCATCCCTCTATGGTCCCCTCATGACCATGACTGGGAGCAAGTGAAGAGAACTATCGATGGGTTTGGGGGCAGAAATGTGCCTGGGGCTATGAAATCTTCATCTTTCAGCAGATGAGAGGAAGGAGGAAACTACTCCCCCTCCCCACTACCACTTCCCACTCACTAAGCGAGAGCCGGACGGCCTCAGGGGGAGAAGAGAAGATCCTTTCTTCTCTTTTCCAGTATTGATTCAGTGCCTCCTAGGTGGTGAGCCCTATCTATAGGGTCAGCCGGAGAGTCAGAGCTGATCAGGTCATTGACTTTGCCTTTATTATTCATATTGTTGGAGGAAACCAACTCAGAGTCCCATAATCTGAGTACCAAACAGACTGTTAAGAGTGTAACTGAGGTTAACATGGAGTGCAGTGGAGGCTTGGAGGACCCAGCATGGACTTCCTAGAGGAAGAGGCATCTGAGCCTACAGAGAGATGGAAGATCAGCAGATGGAGATGGGCTGATAGAAGGGAGTTCTATCCACTCATCTGTCCGCCCCACCCACCCATCCATCCATCCACCCACTCATCCATAGATCATCTGTCAGTGCTACACTGGCCAGGCAGGCTCTGTGCTGAGTTGAAGGAGGCACAGAGCTGAGCACATGGCAACCCTGCCCCCCATCAGGGACTCCTGCCTTGAGGTGGAAAAAGCTGGATGTGCGCGAGCAGATGGTGAGGAAGCCACCGAGGAAGTGGGCAGGAATGGATCCCTGGCCTCAGCCTGGCTCTGAAGTCTCGCCAGCCAATAGATTATCTTCTGTTTGTTCTCGGGCCCCTGCTGACTGCTCACTGGCTATATTGCCACCTCCTTTTTTCCATAATGTGCTCTCCAGGTAACTCCAGATGCTCTATTCTTTCTTCTCCCATATCAGAAGACATCAGGTCCCCTCCAAATGCCTTCCATCTCCCCAGGAAACTGCTAGTCACAGGAAGCCCTAGGTAGTGGTGGGTCAAGGCAAGAGGTGGGTCTGATACTATTTTTTAAAAATTATAATAGTTACATATACTCTGTACTCCAAATTTATAAGATGCACAGAGAAAACGAAAATCATTCTTAAGTCCACTGCCAGAAAATAGCCAGTGAACATCTAGGGGGGCATGACCTTTAGCACGTTATATTTGCCCTGATACATTTTTTCTTCTGAAATATAATAGGGGCACTGTCTTTATTGCATGGGCACTTCACAATTTTCTCAGCTAACCCTATATTATTGAGCATTTAGAATGTGTCCATTTTTTCATTACTGGAAACAATGTTACAACCAATCTATTGGGAAGACTTGCTTGTCTTTGCACACATCTCTTGACTGACCTTACAAGGCCATTCTGCAGCCTCTCTTTGGTTATGTGGTCTCCATCCTCAGAAGGAGGTTAGTGCATGCTTAATTCATGATTAACACCTGTACAGGTT